CCCAATCCAGGCGGCATCCCCCCCTATCCTTCCACACGCCCGACTCCAACAAGCCCCCCCCCTCCCACGCCTTCCATCACCCATCCCAACCCCAGCCCCAAACCCCGATCGCGACACACTCCTCCTCACCCTTGTCGGAACAGCCAAGACTCCCCCCATCACCCAATCCAGGCGGCATCCCCCCCTATCCTTCCAGACGCTAGACTCCAACAAGCCCACCCCCGCCCTCACCCCTCTCTAACCAGCTACCTCACCCGCGACCTCGTTCTCGAAGCCGCACCACACTAACAACCCACCCTGCCTATCCCTTCACCTTACCCCCTGTAGCTACGAACAGCCCGACTCTCCCCCCATCCCTCCCCTACACCTTTTTCCTCTCTCCTCATCGATTACCGCCAAGTTACACCCTGTGGCGGCTGGCCGCCCAGATTCGAAAGTTCGGATCGGGCCGAAAGGCGACGTGGAGAATCGACGGGTGTTGGTTGGCGGGGGGCCGGTCGAGCCGGCGGGTGCGATGACGAGGTCCCGTGGGCTACCGCCCAACAGGTCTGGAGCGGCCGCTAGCGCTAACTAGCGCTGCGTTCCGTAATGCGCTAACCGACGGTGCGAACGCGATTCTGGGATTGTTTGGACTTCTAATTTTCCTTGGCCTCTAAAGGTACTAACTTTTTGTCTTCTCCTGCCTACCTACCAGCTACTTGAATATTTCCCAACCTACACGGGACTATCCTACCTGCTACTTGAGTTTTTTCCAGCTACTCGGCCTAGCCTACGACTAAGTCCCCACTGCGACCCCACAAAAGCAAGGTCACATGCATACAAGGACCCTGGCTGGCCACACAAATACCCAAGCAATCATGCAATCAGACAAACACACGGAAACTCAGCAAGTCACACAATCCAGTGGCAAAACTCAGAAATCAGCAGAGTTCTTCGGGACATCCGTTAAAGTTGGAACGATACGGAGGAGATTAGCATGGCCCCTGTGCTAGGAAGACATGCATAAATCGAGAAATCGACCAAATGGCTAGAAATATTTTCATGACCGACCGGCCGGTCTGGACCGGCCGGCCACCCGGGTGTGATGCCCGGGGGTCTGATGCCCGGGATACCTGAGCATGGGAAAATAAATAAAAAATAAAAATAAAAAAATGGCGGTGGGGTCTTTCCACGCTCTCCGAGAGGAGCCCAAATCCAGGCTCTTTTCGTTTTTGAGAGTTGGCTGTCAAGGGGGGTTATGGAGAGTATAAATTTTAAAGGGGCTAAACGGGTTTAAACTTTAAAGGGGGGTGCCTTAGTATGATTTGGTTATTTGTTTTTTTATCTTTGGTTCCATGAGGAATTCTGATGTGACCCTCAGCCAAAAGTTGTTTGTATTGCAATTCTACAGAACATTTTTTTTTCAGATTTTTTTGGATTTTTTTTTTTTTTTTTCTGCTGGGGCTGCCCGGGCCCATGCCCAGGGGTCATGCCCGGCTGGTCACCCGGTCACCAAACCGGGCGTGACGTCGGGACCCGGGCGCCCAGGATAGCTCCCTAGCCAAATGGTCCAAAAACGAAATAAAAAAATCAGCAGAGTTCTAACTTCTCAGTCTATGATTTTGCAGGTCATTACACACTTGCAAGGAATATGAGTGAGAGTGACAGACAGAAATACAAGTTGCAAAAGCACGCAGAAGTCCAGATAGTCATGTACCGAGCAGAGAGCTCAAATGCACCGAGATTCCATCCAAATAAGAGCAAACAGTGAACTCGTGTGCCAATGTTATCGCCCTCAGGCCCCACCAACACAGTATCCAATGTCGATCATCTCTGTCTGGCGCCCAGCTCCCAGCCTACTCTACTAAGCCTATCTAGCCTATCTACATTCGTGCAACAGGATCACTTCCGACGTTGAAGACCAATGTACATGACGTCAACACCAATGCCAACCTCCCACATACACCAGGTACGTTCTCTCTCCTCCCCTCATCAGACCTTGACCACCCACTGATGCGCCTCCTACCCAAAGACCACCTTCGCACATCACCCGCATGCGCCCCTGCAGCCCGGCTCTGGCTGCCGTGCGCCTGCTGCCCTGCAGCACCCACGTGCACCCCAGCCAGCAGCGCGTATGCAGACACTTGCGCAGCAACGCAGCAGCGTGTCCGCATTGCCTGCCTAGGCCAGATTATCCTCACACTGGCCAGCGACCTTCCTATATGGAAGTCGCGGTCCTGGCTGAGGAAGCTCCCAATAGCTTCCGGTCGGGCCCCAGTGTCTGCGTCCAGGCCCTATCCGACAGTTTGGGGGCCTGGGCCCTTTTCGGTTGGGCACGCCCAGGCAGCCTCCAGGCTCCAAGTGTTTGAAGTCTTCTCATTGGCTCGTTGGGCCTCTGTGACGATTATGCCGCATTCTGATTCGCCCGCGGCCACTTCGTGATGTGCTGGCCTTACACTGAGTGTGCCCAGGGCACAACCACCCGGCCCTGGCTCAACTGCTTGACGCAGCTGCTGTCTCTGGAAGGAGAGCCCAGGGTGAGGCTCACGTTGCACTTCAACCAACTGGCGTGCTGGGACTGTCTGATACCCACAATGGAAAATGCTGAGATAAGGGCCTCTCGTGGATATCCAGGCCCACCTTTACTTAGGGCGGGCATGATGCTTGCTGGGGGCCACAGCCCATATCATGTGCATGTTGGCTAGGGCCCCGTGAGGGCACATTGCTTACACACTAAAGTAAATTCACACTATACCATGGACCATTAACTACGGACATGAATTCTTAGCCATGTCTCCCAAATGCCAGGAAACAGGAAGGCACATATTGAAATTGCCAGGCACAGACAGATCCTATCAGCTTTTGCCAACAAAAGGCCACTGGTGAGCAGAATGGTCTGCCGGTGAAGGCAACCACAATGATAAGACAAGATCACATCCAACAATAAAATAATCACACTTCCGAGTACTGTTACACAAATGGAATTTGATTCCATGTACCTGCTAACCATCAGGCCACCGTAACGCCCGAGGAGCAATCAGGAGGCGCATCATTAACTTAAGAAAGCAGCAGGCATTGCAAACGCTGACACAGAGGCCAATTGCCAGGCACTCCAGTTCTCATAAAGTCCTCAACGGAGATTGATTCGCACTGTGCATCGCCTGAAGCACACCAATCTAAGCATGGGCAAACACAAGACGTTCGCAGAGGAGACATTTCCCATCTTCTAGTGCAAGTTGACAGCCAGAGCCTGCAAATGGCTGGCCGTAGCCGTGCCCAGCTGCCCCCAGCCAGACCCGACAGTTGCGGGCAGGTCTCGTTAGCCCATGTCTCACCTGGCCAGGTGTGGCCAGGTGAAAAGAGGATGGCCCTGGGCTGGGTTGGGGGCAATTGTGGTGGAAAAAAAGGGGCCAGTTGGGGGCGGCCTTTTGTAAACAAAAAAAGAAAATGGCCTGGTGTGGGCGGGTCTAGACTTGGCACGGGACACCCGCCAAAAAGATATGGATGTATGCATATGGGGGTCTACACCCATGCATATATGTTTACTGGGGTACCGGCCCCTATTTGTCACAATTTTTTTCTTTTAACAGACCACAGGTTTGCTGGAGGTGCGACCTCATATGCTTTGAATTTTGTCTCATGATCTCTCATGACTTTTTTCTGCCACTCATATGTGGCATGCGCAGTTGTCTCGCGACTTGTCATTCATTTACCTAGTTGTTGTCGAGTTCCAATGGTTGATCAAGGGTTCCATATTGTCGGGGCCACCAATTGTATAGGTGGGAATGGTCAGGCTGAGTATGGTTGGGTGGGGTGTTGAAAACTTGGAAAAGCAATTGCGGGTACGGACGGGTGCGGGCGGGTGAGGGTAGTGAAAAAAATGCCAGCTATGGGCGGGTACGGGTGGGATTGTGCTTAAGGGCCTGGGTGGGGGCAGGTGGTAAAAAATATGTCTGGGTCTGGGCAGGTACGGCTCCAATTCTTCTTCAAGGTCTGGGCTCAGGCAGGCCCGGGTTTGTACGCTCAAATTGGGCCCAGATGCGGCTAGGCCAGGTTGTGAGGATTTTTTAACCGCAGTTATGGCTAGCTGCAGCTGCGAAATATTATGGTTGTTTAATATGGGTCGGGTGTGGCTGTAGGAGACGTAGGAGTTTGCGAGCTCTGTTGACAGCATGGCACTTCAAGCACCAAATCTGCGGTCTAATGATTCATTCACACGCCTTACCTGCCTCACAATAGCTGAGCGCCTATCGTGTAACTGGCTCGCAATGGCATCTTTCAGTTGCCGGAGCATTCCTGGGAATGCCTCAAAGTCTAAGGCACCTGCAAAATCCCAACACATCAAAACCACAAGAAGAATTTCAAAACACTTGAAAATGCCATAGTCGAGTTGGGCCAGCTGAGTTTCCAGACGAATCCTTACAAAGCTTGCAAGACTAGTCTTCGATTGAAAAGCTCACCTCCAACAACAAGACCTTGTACTCGCTGCAAGACATTCATGCGAACAGACCAATCTGTCTCTGGCACCAGCATTGCTGCCGCCTTCTCAATCTCCTTCAACAGTTCCTTTTCTGAGTGAACACGGACTGACTCCACTTGCCTCAGGGGCCCACGGTCCACATCTGGATAAAAAGAAATGTCACAATTGAAAATCAAATTGCAGGAAACTCCCTCAGTTGGCTGCAAAGAACCAGCCAACGCGAACGAAAGATTTCTGTGGTGCAAAAGACTCCTAGCCAAATAAGCATGTATGGCTCGAGTAGAAAGCACAATTACAAAAGCCGAAAGCACACCAATGAGAACACACTGAACAGTGAAGTGAAAGGATGCAGCACCTCAGCAGTCCAGCCCGGGTACCGCATCCCATTTTCTTTTGTACCATAGGGCCGCATTGAAACTTTCTGGTACACCGTTGGGGACTTGAGTCTTTCAAAATCTCTGTTCTGCTGCATCAACCTTAACAAAGTTATTGTTCTTACTGTACATCATCTTCATGCCCTTTTCATACAACATTGGACACTCAATGAGTGTGGCGCTGGGATTCCAATCCAAGGGTAATAAGACTAAGGCTTGTTCAACCCCCAGGATACATTCAGTCTTTTCACAGCCATTTAGCCGGGGAACTCCAATCAAGCTGATGTCCAGGCCTTTCCTGGGACTGAGCTGCGACTTGATCGGGACTTGACACATGGCAGACCGCTGCCTATTGACTACTAAGGAAGTCCACTGTTCCGTGCGCCTTATCCTATGGACCTCTATTTTGGCCTCTCGTCTGTGTTCCCTTTACGAGCCCTGCATGCGGCGATACCACCGTAAGCCCACACCCGACGATGGGTGGACCTTCACACAAGTTCAGAAGAAGTGGAATCAGGCAAACTTAGGCAGGGGTGAGGGGTGGTACATCCTCCCTAACGAAAGTCATCAATGTTGGCTTCTTGGGTCTCTCAACCATTATGGGGAGAAGCGTCCGGGTGTATACCTAATGTATTTTCTTGACTTGCCGGGTCCCAGTGCTCTCCGGGTTGAGCTGATTGAGGAACTCCCAGCCTCAGAGATTTTATAGATAATAAAAGTGCAACTTTCTTTTAAAACAGGGACAATTTGCATTATACCCCTCAAATTTGAGATAAATGCCAAAATGCCCCTAAAAGATGTGGGTAGAGCGGAATGCCCTTTTGGCCTGATTTCTTCGTGCTATGCCCCTGTCAGGCCTGGGCACAAATTTGCAATCTGCACCTCTCCGTTTGGGCCGGGGTCTGCACCCTGTTTTACCCGGTTTGCCCTCCCTACGCCGCGGCCGAATTCGCAGAATACCCATCCCTAAAGGTCGCTTGTGGTTGGCCGCTTCACACCGGGTTCTTCTCATTCCTGGTAAGCTCCTCCATCTCCAACCTCCTCCTCCCTCGCCATTCCTCCAAGGTCTCTTCCCTCTGTGTGTGTTTGTGTGTGTGTGTGTGTGTGTGTATCCAGTATACGTCCTCCCTCGCCATTCCTCCAAGGTCTCCTCCTTTATCGGAAGTGCTACCCAGCCTCTGCCTGCCTGGGCCTGGCTAAGTGTGCCCAGTAGCTTCACATTGGGCCAAAGTGTCTACGCCCAGGCCCGTTCAGACAGTGGCCTGGGGCCACAACAGCTAGGTGCGCCCAACTACCCACGTACGATGTCATGTGTTCCCTGCTTGCTGATTGGCCGAGAGGCTGGATTCCACGTCCAAGCATAGAAGATCCTGGAAGGCTCTCAGGAGATTATGTTGCTCACGAGCTGGGCCTTAGCAACCAACTGGCGTGTGTTAACTGTCTGGCACCCGACAATGCAGAAATGATGAAAGTGGGGCCCCATGTCGCATTGAGGCCCGCCTTCACTTAGGGTGGGCACCGTACTTGTTGGGGCCCCCTTAGCCAGTAGCAGACCACGGCCAAGTGGCCCATGTGAGGCTCGTTCCTTGCACATTGTTTAACAAGCAGTTGCAAGGCACATAGGGTGGAGGATATGGGGGAGGCAGGTGCGCAGACAAACAAAACATAAAAAGCAAGGGAAAAGGCACATAGTACAAGTACTACGTTGAAAACCAAATAGCGAAAAAAATAAAAATTGATGATGACAGACTGTTTCGTCGGAGTTGCACCGACTCATCAGGAGGCTGAACCCTCAACAATCTGCTGAATCTCTGTATTGATGGTTTGGGTCATGAACCCTTTGACACATGTTGAAGGCAGACTGTCTACAAGCAGAACACAACAGCAGGGCAACAACTCAGCGAAGCACCAGGCTTCGCTGCACTTGCAACCCGACTGCACAACGCCAAACACAACTGCAAGGAACCACACGGCAAGCGGACAAGCAGCAGGGCAACAGCCCAGCGAAGCACAAGGCAGCACCAACATAGCAGCCATACTACACGATACACAACCAAGGAACACAGAAGGCACAGCACGTGGATAGGCAAGTGGACAAGCAGCAGGGCAACAGTGCGGCAAAGCACTAGGCAGCACCAACACAGCAGCCACACTACACGACACACAAGCAAAGAACATGGAAGGCACAGCACGCGGATGGGCAGCGATCCGGCAGCGCAGCGAAGCACAGGGCACCACTAACACCACAACCACACCACACTGTGAACAAAACAGCCTTGCAAAGAACTACATGTAACACAAGCAGGACGGGCCGCAAGGCAGGGGCAGAGCGCAGACAAGGCAGTCTACACATCCAACACGGAGCAAAGCGGAACATCACCTACTCACATCACGATTGAACCCCACAAACTGTTGGTTCCCCCAACACCCGCTGAGCCAGGGAGTCACCCACACGAACATCCGTCATCACCCACAAGCAACACAGACATTCCAAACCGAGCAGCCCCCCTAAGAGTGCTGTAGGCGCTCCAAACAAAGAACCACCTACTGTTTAGCACTTCCCAAGGGTGCTCACTCGAACAGACAGGAAGTTCGTAGAAATAAATCTCGGGGAAGGAGGAGAAATTCCAAGAAAACAGACAGGTGTACATAAAACTAATTTTTTTTTTTTTTTTTTTTTTTTTTTTTTTTTTTTTTTTTTTTTTTTTTTTTTTTTTTT